GCTTTCTACCAGAAATTAGTAGACAGTCTTCCATGACACATTGAAGCCATCATTAAGGCAAAAGGTGGGCCAATATGCTATTAATTTCTTGGAATAAAGACATGTTTTATTCATAACTACCTGTGTCCCATGACTTTTGGTAGGATAGTGAACATATTTGGTATTAATAGTCTACAGCTTGTAAAATTCAAGATGTTAATTGATATTTTAAAAAACTAATTATATCATCTAAAATTATTTAAAAAAATAAACATAATGTAACCCAATGATAACAATGAACTAGCATTTTAACCCCCAAGTCAATCTCAACTGGTACTTTTGGTCTTTTGTAGAGATACTCCAGAATGATAGCTATGTTATTTCAGTAACTATCAAACCTAGCTGAGAGAAACAAAATAAGTTATTGATACAATTAACTATAAATATGACCTGGATACAAAACAATAACAAAAATCATTTAATACAACTTAATTATTTAGTAAAAGCTTTGTGGTTTAACAAATAGTCATCAAATATGAAAGCTATTTTCCCTTGTTTCTGTTCCCTTTTTTTATGCATTTACATTTTTTATAGTTAATATAAGTGGAAAATAACTTTAGTAAAAGAAAACATAAATTTATACAATTATTGTGCTTTTATAGAAAAAAATTTAAGTTAATAAATGTTATGCAATTTTCAGAAGTTGAAAAAAAAAGTTTGTTTTTGCTTTTTTTTAAAGTGCAAGATACACAGTGATACAATTAAAAAAACACTACATGTTTACTTAGAAATTTATTTTGGATTAATGTCTGTGCAGATGATGATGTCATGGGTCATCAAATTGTATACTGTCCTGTTTAGAAACTAAAACATTCTATGTTTAGGCTGGTACAAAGTAGGTTAACTGTTTTATCTTTTATACTCTAAAAATTGAATAATCAAAAATATTATAATGAATTAAAAAAAGAACAATCTTTATATTTTTTTAATGTCAAGAAATTACAGCTTCTATTATGGTTAGCATAGGTGCT